AGGACAAATACCACAAATTCATTACACTATTGAAGAGTTGTTCCGAGGTTTCTCATTCGATGAGAAACCTCGGAAAAAATTTGCTCTAGTGGAATAAATTTACCTCCCCTAACACACAAATGATCAGATATAACAAGCACAGATTTTTAAGGTATAGCTTTGTTGAAAACCTTCAAATAAAGAGAAATTTAAGGAGAAATTTGCCCGTTTGATGTATGGTGAGAAGCATATTTGAGAGTTTGGAGAGGCAAAGTGCAATCACCTATCAATATTGCACTTTGCCTGTCAAAAGTTTTCGCATCTCTTGAGGTGTGAGGAAGTTTCTCGACAGAGGAAACTTTCATATCGAATGTTGCCTCTGTCGAGATGTATGTGACAGGCAAAGTGCAATCACCTATCAATATTGCACTTTGCCTGTCAAAAGTTCTTCGCATCTCTTGAGGTGTGAGGAAGTTTCTCGACAGAGGAAGAACTTTTGACAGGCAAAGTGCAATATTGATAGGTGATTGCACTTTGCCTGTCACATACATCTCGACAGAGCAACATTCGATATGAAAGTTTCCTCTGTCGAGAAACTTCCTCACACCTCAAGAGATGCGAAGAACTTTTGACAGGCAAAGTGCAATATTGATAGGTGATTGCACTTTGCCTGTCACATACATCTCGACAGAGGCAACATTCGATATGAAAGTTTCCTCTGTCGAGAAACTTCCTCACACCTCAAGAGATGCGAAGAACTTTTGACAGGCAAAGTGCAATATTGATAGGTGATTGCACTTTGCCTGTCACATACATCTCGACAGAGGCAACATTCGATATGAAAGTTTCCTCTGTCGAGAAACTTCCTCACACCTCAAGAGATGCGAAGAACTTTTGACAGGCAAAGTGCAATATTGATAGGTGATTGCACTTTGCCTGTCACATACATCTCGACAGAGGCAACATTCGATATGAAAGTTTCCTCTGTCGAGAAACTTCCTCACACCTCAAGAGATGCGAAGAACTTTTGACAGGCAAAGTGCAATATTGATAGGTGATTGCACTTTGCCTGTCACATACATCTCGACAGAGGCAACATTCGATATGAAAGTTTCCTCTGTCGAGAAACTTCCTCACACCTCAAGAGATGCGAAGAACTTTTGACAGGCAAAGTGCAATATTGATAGGTGATTGCACTTTGCCTGTCACATACATCTCGACAGAGGCAACATTCGATATGAAAGTTTCCTCTGTCGAGAAACTTCCTCACACCTCAAGAGATGCGAAGAACTTTTGACAGGCAAAGTGCAATATTGATAGGTGATTGCACTTTGCCTGTCACATACATCTCGACAGAGGCAACATTCGATATGAAAGTTTCCTCTGTCGAGAAACTTCCTCACACCTCAAGAGATGCGAAGAACTTTTGACAGGCAAAGTGCAATATTGATAGGTGATTGCACTTTGCCTGTCACATACATCTCGACAGAGGCAACATTCGATATGAAAGTTTCCTCTGTCGAGAAACTTCCTCACACCTCAAGAGATGCGAAGAACTTTTGACAGGCAAAGTGCAATATTGATAGGTGATTGCACTTTGCCTGTCACATACATCTCGACAGAGGCAACATTCGATATGAAAGTTTCCTCTGTCGAGAAACTTCCTCACACCTCAAGAGATGCGAAGAACTTTTGACAGGCAAAGTGCAATATTGATAGGTGATTGCACTTTGCCTGTCACATACATCTCGACAGAGGCAACATTCGATATGAAAGTTTCCTCTGTCGAGAAACTTCCTCACACCTCAAGAGATGCGAAGAACTTTTGACAGGCAAAGTGCAATATTGATAGGTGATTGCACTTTGCCTGTCACATACATCTCGACAGAGGCAACATTCGATATGAAAGTTTCCTCTGTCGAGAAACTTCCTCGAAACTCCAATTTTTCTTTAGAACTACAATATCTTAACAATTTGCTCATCAAAACACAACCTATAAACTTTAATTTTTACTTTTGTTTTTTTCAATATATGAACTAAATTTTTTTTTTTCAAATTACTCCCACACTGGGAAAAGTATTTTAACTCAGATGTTGCCAGCCTCTTCATCATTGCATTAACAAGTGCTTTGACTCAGAGGTTGCCAGCCTCTTCATCATTGCATTAACAAGTGCTTTGACTCAGAGGTTGCCAGCCTCTTCATCATTGCATTAACAAGTGCTTTGACTCAGAGGTTGCCAGCCTCTTCATCATTGCATTAACAAGTGCTTTGACTCAGAGGTTGCCAGCCTCTTCATCATTGCATTAACAAGTGCTTTGACTCAGAGGTTGCCAGCCTCTTCATCATTGCATTAACAAGTGCTTTGACTCAGAGGTTGCCAGCCTCTTCATCATTGCATTAACAAGTGCTTTGACTCAGAGGTTGCCAGCCTCTTCATCATTGCATTAACAAGTGCTTTGACTCAGAGGTTGCCAGCCTCTTCATCATTGCATTAACAAGTGCTTTGACTCAGAGGTTGCCAGCCTCTTCATCATTGCATTAACAAGTGCTTTGACTCAGAGGTTGCCAGCCTCTTCATCATTGTAAAAATGTATTACCGCTTTTTTTTTTAATTCAATCGTAACATCTCAATTATCCGCCAAAAATTATTGGGTCTAAATTGGTTTTTATTATTATTATTTTCAGAAACAAACTAACTTGTTTTTTAGGAATTTATCATTCATAAAGTCTTTATGATATATTTTCAACTTATAATGAATATGAAATTATAATTGTTATTTTGAAAAAAAATTATTCATGATCAATTCATGATTTAACCAGTTCCTTCAAATTAGGAGAGCATATTCAAATATAATCGCTCATTAAAATCAATTTTTATATTTTTTTTTAAATCGAAATTATCTCATCATAAACCATGCAAACTGACTATTTGTTCTTATCACCATGTTACCAATATCAGAATTGTCTTTACAGCCAAAATTTCGCTCGATAAAAGTCCATCCAATAGTGAGATAATTGAGCAACTAACATTTTTCCATATCACAAAAACCTCCGCCAAATTAAAGGTACATTCACTAAGCGATAACAGTAAAATGGGATGAAAATAGGATAAATAGCATCCCTATATAGTGCCTAACAATATTTATACGGGCCAAAAAAATTTGGCTAGAGATTTGGCGAGTTAGAAAACTTAGAAAATTGAGAGGGATTTTTATTTTTGAATTTTTTTTGGAAAGTTAAAATTGCGATTAAAAATCGATTTCCGGGAGAACTAAGCATCTCATCATATATTTAAATCGATAAAAATATTAAATAATAGTTGAATAGTATAACAACGTGAAATTATGGCTGAATATACAGAAAAAATGAACATATTTGACATTTTTGAAAATTCATACGTTAGATGGTGACAAACTCATAAACTATACTTTAGCTAAGATTGATATATGGTTTCAACAACACATGGTTAAAATCGTAAAAATATTTTAGATTTCAAAAAGATATATATGGTAATATAATGGAACAGAGTCAGCAAATAGCATGTAAAATATGTTACAATTAACTTTTTATTAGATCTAATAGTAGATATCGAATAGTTTCCAGCTTTATGGTTAAATATTTTCTTTTCGAGCTTCTCTTTAACTGTTGTATTAAGGTTGTAAATTTTTGATGCTAGAAACTATGGAATCTTCTTTGCTGCTGCATTTTTCTTGAGAGTTCTTGCAATTTCGAATAGATCTGCGCATTGTATGAAATGGAGGCTTTAAAATATCTTGAAAACAGAATAGGACTGCTTTTCCAAAGGAATGCTTACTTGTAAATCAGAGAGTTTCAAAATTGAGAGCAAGATTATCATCATAACTTTTGATTTTGCTGCGAAAAAGGAAGACAAGTAATTAACAAATCATTTACTGTTGTTCATCAAAAGAAGAAAACTTTGATAACAACTAATGATGATAAAATTAAGCTATCTTTTAATATTTTAAATTGATAAGACATTCAAAATATTTGAATGGTTTAAAATATTTTCTTTTAATTTCTATAAGATATTATCATGATTATATAATAAAATTTAAATTTTTATTCAAAAAGGCAATATTTCAAACTTTTAATTTCAAAAATCTTAATTCTGCAATAAGTGTATTTAATTGTAGCAAATTTAATGATCCTTCGTCATGCTTAGCAATTTGGAACTCATAAATTAATGATTTCTTCAAGTAAAATTCTGCATTATTTCAAAAGTCAATAATTCTCTAGTAACTTTTCTTCAAACCCTAACCATTATATTATATGTATAATGGAGAATAATTGCAAAGAAAGATAGCCGAATTTACTGGGTAGTTCTTGTGATGCGAAATAATTGCAAATTAACACCTAGTTTTAACAGCATCAATCTCTTTTTGCTCTCATTTAAATGCATTCGCACACTTTAATTTTGAAATATAAGAGTTTTGGAAATTATCAAATTTATCTGCTCAAATACTATAGATCTTCATAAGTGTTAATAGAATCATTAGCCTTACATATAGTGTTTAATATAATGATGCACATTATACTGGGATTCATTCCTTATTCATCTAGTTATTATAAGATTTACAACCCCATGAAAATTTAAAATTTTGTCAAAAATAGTGAATGTACCTTTGAAAAATTAAAACGACAGCTATTATTAATTTAGAAGGATAATTATTTTTAAGGTTAATATTGAAGAATTACATTTTTTCGGCACTTTTGAAAAGATTTGAATTTTTATAACTGAATGAAGCCGTCAATAGAACTGCCGTTCATTCGTTATAATAAGCCTTCAAACATATACCGAGAGAAAGTCGAGAAAAATGATTATGCGCTGCTTAAAGAACAAGTCAAAAGCGAAATATCCGAATTCCAACATCAAATTCAACAAGATGCTGCAGTATTTTCAGCTGAAACATTAACGAAAAGTCCAACCGCATCATTTCAACAGATTCTTAATCTATTACATAAAGAATTTCCTTCAAATAAATTTTCAAAATTATCGAATATGTGGCCTCCTAAAATTAAAAAGGTTAGCCCATTAGCGCAATCTGTGTTCTACTTCTTGGGCAAACTTTTGCACGATTGCGATGATAGAAATGTAATATTGAAGTGGTTAACCTTGGCTTTTCTTCCAAATGAGAAACCGAAGTCATCTGAAGTCACCATGATCGGATATTCAAACTGTCTAATTCAAGATTATGAATCAGTCGCCTGGGTTTTTCTTTTTTCGGATGATACGTTCAAAAGCTTCATTTTGAATGAGGAAAACAAGTTCACAAAGCTAAAGGAAGGAAAGATCAATAAAGTCAGCATCAATATTGATACGAACTCCATCATTTTTGAGGGAAAATCTCGAGATCCAATTTTAAAGTTTTATCCTACGGATCCAAAGACAGTGATGGCGTGGGCAGATGCCCATGACGAGACGCAAGATCTGACCGTCACTTTCCTTTCTTCAGCCAGAACTCCTTTTCCAAACATTTTCTATGAATACGCTATTCCTATGCTTATGACTAACAACAACATTGTTCTCAAAGCCATTCTTCGTGTGTTCAACAACATCGGATCTGCTCCTCCTTCATTCTTTTCTGCACTTTTAGATGTTTTCGCAACAAAAGACACGATTAATACACTTTTCAGCACGATTCTAATTTGCGATCTCGAAACTACGAACGGTTCCCTCAACGAAATTGTCACAAGGAACTTAATGACGAATCAATTTTTCCGAATTTTAGTTACGAGATACTACGAGTCATATTTCGAAAGGTTCTTATCAAAGCTTATCAGGTACATTGATGATAGAGCAGATTTACGATTAACTCAGCCAGATTGTGATGTTGAACGTGCCAAAGTTGTTGTTTTCTCATTTATCAAGTACATTCTTGGAAGCTACGGAATATTCCCTCCTCAGATCTCCCATTTCCTTTCATTTGTACGATCGTATTCTTCCATTGTCCATAATAACCGTGAAGAAGTCTTTAATTTGATTTCGACCTTGTTCTTCGAAAATATATTGGTCAACGGATTATTAGGCAACGAGCCTTTTCCGAAAGTCCAACTCAAGAACAAAAACCAGATTATCGAATTATTAAGATTTATTAAGCCGATATTCATTCATAAGACGATCGAAACAACAAATCCAGAGATCTGGGATTGGAACACACGCATTACATTCCGCGTACACCCTCAACTTGACATTTTCCTTTCAGTTATATCTGATCCTGCACCAGATGCTCGATTTCCGAGCGTCAATGATGAACAGTATGAAGAATATTCATCATGCATCTTCCAAACGATCTCAAACAATCAAGATCAGTTTATAGAAAATTATGAAAAGATGAAAAAGCAAACGGCGATCTCCTCATGCGCATCCTGGAATTTTACCTTTGCCGTTTCGATGCTTTTCCAGCACATGTCCGATGGAGAAGAACTCGAAGTAAATACTGAGAACAAAAAGGACGATTATCGAAATTTCCTTGATACAGCAGTTATCAGACCACAACCCATTCCAAATTCTCCATTTTCAGACCACTACGGCAAGGATTACCTCGAATCCGCCCATCCATCTTCTTATTTAATGCAGTCCCTTGAATTAATGAACGACCAAGTTAACATTCCTAACAACAAGCTTCCACGGATGCCTCTAATTCCTCATTACAGCGATGAAGATATCGCTGCTGAGATAGAATTGCGAAAAAAAGAGCTGGCGGAGCCTCAGACCAGGACGGCGCGGACTGTGGCTCCACAAGCAAACGCATCGACCCAAGGAAACCTCACGAGCCCCCGATTTCCACCGAATCAGATGATGAATCAGAATCCGAATCAGAATCCTCTTCCTACTACTCAGAATACACAAAGTCAACAAGTTCCGCAACCGATAACATCAAATCAAGCGAAGCCGTCTCTATCTCAGTTGAATCCTCAATTGAGCAACCAACAACCGACCAACGTGATCACTCCGAACCTCCTGTCAGCCAACCAAGCTCAGAAGCAGTCTCAATTACAGCTTCTGGAGGATATTCTGAAGTCGATGCCGGAACAAGCAAAGAATACTCCTCAACCCCTGCTACTTCCATCTCAGCCGTCTCAGAGCAATATGCTGAGGCAATCCCGAAGCCAGAGTGCCATGAAACTCGCTCCGACAATCTCAATCAACCCGAAAAAGAGGGAACCAACGACGATAGAAGAGGACACACCGGTTCATCTGATTCCGACTACTACAGCTACGGAGCATCAAGCGAATATAGTTCCGAAAAGGACGGTCGGAAAGAAGAATCGTCTTAAATTAGGGAGAAGCGTCAGTCCAGAGACGGACAAAGTGATCAAGAAGAAGTCAAGAAGGAAGACAGCTGAAACAACAACGAATACGGCGTCTTCTTCAATGGATGAAGAAAATGCTCCGAAGAAAAAGGTCCTTAGGAAGAAAACAAAGAAGGCAAGAGCAAAAACAGTTGATCCTGTACCGGAGAAACTCAGTAGTAGCCCAAGTACAGACAAATTAAACAGTCCAGGTAAGAAACGAAAAAGAATTGTGAAAAGAAAAGGTTCTAACAGAGGAATGACCAAAACAGTTGAAGATGAATTACGAGAGCCCTCTATTTCTCCACAACAAGTTCAAATCCAGGCAAATAATAATAATTCTCAAAATGCGAAGCCAAAAGGAAGAAAAAGGGCATCAACAACTAAGACACCAACACTGGTTATCGATCCTTCAATTCTTGTCCCTTCAAATGCTACAATTTCTAGGAAATCTTCCAAATCCAGCAATGCAACGAAATCGTCAAAGAATAGCGATACTCCGGCATCTCCTATTACTCATTCTCCTTCAAAGAAGAAGTCAAAGACAAAGAAGAAATCATCATCTCAATCTGGCCCTCAATAATTTCCATTTTTTTAATATTATATTTATGTATATTTGCAATGCTTTATATTAGAATAAATATTATTTCGTTTATTTAAATCATTATAAAAATTTAGAAATTTTGCAAAAGAACTTTCATCCAATTTTGCCACTCCTTGCATTTTCTTATGAATTTGGTGTAATATTAGTACATTTATTAAATTTTCATAGTTATTTAAAGAATATATATGAATTACATTGGATCTGTTCCACTAAATCATCATTGCCATTTACTTCTCTCGAAATTGTGAAGCAAATAAACCAAATTTATCTTTTTCGATTTGATAAAAATATATACATTGTAACAAATCTTCAATAAAATATATCCTTTAATAGCGATTTTTAAAGATAAATCAAAATTTTTATTTAGTTTCAATTTGAAACATGAGAAATAAGAAAGTCCAATGTTTCTTGGCTGTTGTTTTCGATTGCATATTCAAAAACAGTCTTCCCATCTTTATCTTGTCCATTGATGTTTGCACCATGTGAAATAAGAATTTCAATTGCTTCTTTGCTGTTTTTCTCTGCTCCATAATGAAGAGCAGTTTTCCCATCTTTATCTTGTTCGTTGATGTTTGCACCATGTGAAATAAGAGTTTCTGCCGTCGATACACTATTATAAAATGCGGTGATTTGAAGAGATGTTGTTCCATCGAAATCTTTTTCATTAACATTCGCTCCTCGTGAAATAAGAAATTCTGCAACTTCTTGATAGTTTTTCTGAGATGCAATATGAAGAGCAGTCCATCCAATATTTTTCTTTTCATTTACATTGGCACCATGCGAAATAAGCAATTCTAATATGTTTTTGTGGTTTCCGACTGTTGCTAAATGGATTGCAGTGCCTCCATCATTGTTTTTAGCGTTAATATCTGCTCCATTAGAAAGAAGCATCATTACTATTTCTGGACAATTGTATCGTGATGCAAAATGAAGAGCTGTCCATCCATTTAAACCTCTTTCATTAACATTGGCACCATGTGAAATTAACATTTCTGCAATTTCTTGACAGTTTTTATTTGATGCACAATGAAGAGCTGTCGACCCATTTATATCCTTTTCATTAATATTGGCACCATGTGAAATTAATTCATTGACGGTTTCTTTACAATTATTAAGTGCAGCCCAATGGAGAGCAGTTAATCCTTTATTACACTTTTCATCAATATATACACCATGAGAAAGCAATGTTGATATTAATTGATTGCAATTATGATAAGATGCATAATGAAGAGCCGTAAATCCATCAATGTCTTTTGAATTTATATCAGATGAATGCGAAATAAGAAGTTCCATTATTTCTTTGTTATTATGTCGTGCTGCTATATGAAGAACAGAAGCATTTTTATTATTTTTGTCATTGATATTTGCATTATGTGATATAAGAAGTTCTATTATTTCTTTATTTTCAAAATCTGCTGCAGCAAAAAGAGGAGGTGTCCCATCAGCGCTTTTAGCATTTAGATCTGCACCATGCAAAATAAGTATTTCTGCTATTTCTTTATAACCTTTCTGTGCTGCAATATGAAGAGCAGTATGACCGGAAATGGTTTTATCATCCACATTTGCACCTGAGGCAAGAAGAAGCTCCACAATTTCTTTACAATTATTATCTGCGGCAAAATGAAGGGGAGTACCTCCAGAAGAATTTTTAGAGTTAACATTAGCGCCATGCAAAATTAATAACTTTGAAATTTCATCACTTTTATTAAGTAATGCCAAATGAAGAACAGTATTTTCATATATGTCTTTTGAATTAATATCAGCACCATGTGATATAAGAAGTTCGACAATTTCTTGAGAGTGTTGAATAACTGCTACCATAAGAGCGGTCTTTCCTTTGTTGTTTTTAGCTTCAATATTTGCACCATGGGAAACTAAAAGTTCAACTAATCCTTTATCGTTATGAATTATTGCATAAAAGAGAGGGGTGTTTCCATTAATATCATTTACATTGATATCCGCACCATGTAAAATCAATAATTCCACGATATATTCATCATCGGTTTCTGCTGCATAGTGAAGAATTGTCATCCCATTTTTATCTTTTTCATTGACAGCAGCACCATGTACAATTAGAAATTCTACGATTTCTTTATTTTTCTTACTAGATGCATAATGAAGAGTAGTACATCCATTTTTATCTTTTTCATTGAGATTTGCACCATGTGAAATAAGAAGTTCTAAAATTTCTTTATTTTTACAACCAGATGCAGAATGAAGTGCCGTAGTTCCATTTATATCTTTTGCATTAATATCTGCATTATGTAAAATAAGTAATTCAACAATTTGCAAGTTATCTTTTTCGGCTGCATAGTGAAGAACGGTCATTCCATTTTTATCCGTTTCATTAACATTTGCACCATGCAAAATAAGAAGTTTCGCAATTTCTATATTATTGTTAAGTGATGCATAATGAAGAGCCGTGGGTCCATTTGCATCTTTTGCATTAATGTCTGCGCCATGCAAAATGAGAAGCTTCGCAATTTCTATATTATTGTTAAGTGATGCATAATGAAGAGCAGTATATCCTTTTACAAGTTCTTTTTCATTAATTTTTGCTCCATGTAATAAAAGAAGCTCAACTATTTCTTTATGATTGATGGAAGATGCAAAATGAAGTGCATTTCTTCCAATATTGTCTTTGGTATCAATATTTGCACTGTTAGAAATAAGGAGTCTTGCTATTTCTATACAGTTATATCTTGCTGCTAAGTGAAGTGGAGTGGATCCATCAGAGCGCTGAGCATTAGTGTCAGCACCATGCAAAATAAGGAATTCTGCTATTTCTTTATTGTTTTGATGAATAGCTAAATGAAGCGCAGTAGTTCCATCATCACGCCGAGAATCAATAAAAGCTCCATTCAAAATAAGAAATTCTAATATTTCCTTGCAATCAAGTGATGCTGCAAAATGAATAGCCTTTGAACTGTCATCTCCTCGAGCATTAATTTCATCACATTTTGATATTAAATACTCAACAAGTGAAAAAATTGAAAAACAAGGAGAATAAATAAAACACTTCTGAAAATCTTTTGTCATATCGAGATTGATAAAGAAAGCTTGAAGATTTAGAACTTGTCCACAAACATATAATTCAATATCAATATCATATTCATTCTTTAAAAAAGAAACGAAATCAACGTTGAATGAAATAATCGCGTTTCTCATACAATTTTCATCTGGTACTTGTTCTTTCAAACATTCATGAATGATACCAGGATTTCCTCCTAAAAATGATAATTTAAGACATCTCTCTGTGATTTCTGATTTGAATTTTGTTCTTAACAACTTAAAACATCCAATTGATCCATGATAACAGCATAATTCAAGAAGCGACAATCCATCGTTATATTCCGGATATAATTCATTTTTGAGACGTTGATCTTTGTTGAATGTTTCTTCTTCTATGAATCGGACAAAAGATGCTTCATCATCTTCCATAATAGATCTGTAGATTGTATTCTTTTCATGGATATCCAATGAATAATTTTCAGCTTCATAATTTTGGAAAAGCTTTTTGTAAAATGATTCAACAGGCAAGTTGTATTCTTTGTGAAAGAAGTAATTCAAAACTTTATAATCACTAAAATCTGGTTTTACGTGGAATTCTTCATAAAGTAATTTGAAAATTGTCCAATATGATTTTAAGTACCGGTTATTATATCTATAAATGAGACAAATCAAACTATATATCCTTTTTGGTGAAAATATCTTCGTATCAAGTAAATTTGTTTTAATTGTTTGATAAATTTTTTTAATTTCATTTATTTCTGTTGTTTTGATTCGCATGAATGATGCAAAAGTTTCTTGATATGACTTATATCTTTCTGTAAGCTCATTGTATAAACGATGATCATCTTCGAGCTCCGCCATTAAAATTGTTTGAAAAGTCGTACTTTCCAACCAAAAGCTTTTGAAGGACAACAACTGAAGAATTTAATGGTTCTACCTATTTTAACACTATATTTCTAATTTTATTAAGATTTTTTTGCGACTGGAGTTATTAATTTCATATTGATGTTCATTTCAACCAACCTAAGGATATTATGAACTTTCACATTACAAATTTTAAGTTTACGCACAAAATTTAAGTTCAAAATATCCCAGAGAACACATAATGACTTCAAGAATTTAGATCATAACAAATTATTCAATTTATTCTCCATAAGAATTCATAAAAATGCAAAGGCTTAGCCGCCAGAATATTAAAATTTTACTATTACCAGTAATACTCTTATTTAGAGAAATAATTTCAAACTTCGAAAATCTTTATAGATACAATACAAAGAATCTCATGAATATAAGAACCTTATTACAAATCATTAGTAGATCTAAACAGAAAAATGTATACTACCTTCCGAAGATTAAAATGTATCTTTATATAAGTAGAATGAATATTATTTGATTTCATATCAATTATCACACCCATCAATTATCTGCCCACAATCATCTTCTGACCAAATAGAATAAAATAATAGTTCGAAATTTGCTAGTTCAATATTTTAAACAATTACTGAAAGAGATTTCAATTTGGAATATAATTCGAATAAGTAATGTTTATGATGTCTTTCTTTTGCATTTTTTAAAACTAAATAAAAAGGTACGGACACCTTTTAACCTTAAATTCTAAAAAATCAAGGGGCATTTGTTAGCTTCACAACTCGTAATACCCTTTGAATATCACCAAGATTTTAGAGCAAGCAAAGCATTAGCATACTCTTAAGAGAATGCAATGTTTGTTGCATGAACTAAACTTTGCAAAAAAGAACATATTTTGATTTTTTGCAACCTATCAATTTTCTCATCATTTGATCAGCCAAGATTACTAAAATTCGAAAACACTTATAACCCTATTCGAATTTATTACTTATACTCTTAAGAGAATGCAATGTTTGTTGCATGAACTAAACTTTGCAAAAAAGAACATATTTTGATTTTTTGCAACCTATCAATTTTCTCATCATTTGATCAGCCAAGATTACTAAAATTCGGAAAATCTCTACCATAAAAAATTAAATTTATGAAATATTTTTGAGACCGCGCTTTCTCTTTGAAAATCATGGGGATGAATCACATACAAATATATAATAAGTACGTAGAAAATGAAAAAAATCCGTCTTGCCAATTTTTAGAAACGAATTGCATTTCATCAAAAATCGACATTACCCAATAGTTGACTGGTAAATTAGCTGTTATCATAATGAACGGCATACAGTTATCAAATAAATACTAGTGCAAACGCACAACCAGCAATAAAAATTCTGAATTTTTATTACTTGTAACTTGTTTTACTCCTACAAGAAGAAGATTACTTTTGAGTTACATGAAATTCAAGTAGTATCTTCGAAATAATTGTATTTAATAAATATAAATATTTTATGTTTATTTTTTTCGGTAATCTATCTGTTTTTGGATTTTGACCACAAAAAGTTCTTCTTTAGTTATGAAATTGTTAGTTTTTTTAAAATTAAATTTTGCATTCAAGAAATATCGACGTTTTTCAGGAACATATGTTGCATGCTAAGATCAGTCATAATGTAAACCTCTCAATTTTATTGTCGTGGGAAGTATCTCAATTCCTTCAAAAAAATTGAAAAACCATTTAATTTTAAAAATATAATACTTTTAATTAGTTAATTAATTGGAGATATTTTTAAAAAATCACTTTTGATAATACTTTTGAGAACTTTAATTAAAAAAATATATTCAAAAATATCCAGGATATCAAGAGGGAATTGTTCCTTATGAGGTATATAGTTATGATGTATACCTCATAAGGAACAATTCCCTCCTTAAAATGAGAAAACTTGTTCGAAATTGTTTATCATTTCGAACAAGTTTTCTCGTTTTTAATAGGAAACTAAAGGCTATGAGGCACTGATTATATATTAGTGCCTCATAGCCTTTAGTTCCTAATAGATAGCTGGGGAACTTTCTCCAAATGATAAGTTATTCAGAGAAAGTTTCCCAGCTATCAAGAGGGAATTGTTCCTTATGAGGTATATAGTTATGATGTATACCTCATAAGGAACAATTCCCTCCTTAAAATCGTAGACATTTTTATACTTATTAATCAACCATTCAAAATCATATTCCTCTGAAAAGTTATTTTATTAAAAATTTAGAATTTTAATAAATATAGAGTTTGAATTTCATACAATACCTATATATTTTCAATAATGGAATTTGAAAACCATTCTCAAAAGTTCTCAGAAAACCTTTTTTCATTAATTTTAAGAAATCTGAGTATTAAATTAAGTGATAAATTCGTTTGACACTACTTTAATTTTTAAATTCAAAAAAATTATATGTGCTTCTTAAAATGACTCAAAAAAATTTTATTATAAAATAATATATAATATTAAAAATCCCACAACATTTTTTTACTTTACATAATCGTACTTCCTCGACGATTAATTTACACTCAATTTCTATCGTTGACCGAACTTAGCATGCAACACATAAAGAAATATTTTGCATCAACATCAATTATAAAACACATTCATTTTTCCAAAAAAATCGTAATTTTGGGATTTTGTAATAAAAATTGTAATTTTTCATTTTATTTTTCATTTTTTGAAATTTTTTTGGAATTTAAACTTAAAGCTAAGACAGATTTTTATATATGATTAGAGTATACTTGATGATTCGGTTATAATTTTATCTCTAAAAGTTATACATTCCTTTTAACAATGAGTATTTCGATTCAATATCATGTATTCAAAGCATTTTTGAGCCTACTTTACTTAAGAAATCAGATTCAACACATTAGCATATTACGATAGGATTGCTATAAAACGATAATATCAATTTTTTAAAGAAATATTTTCTGATCTCGTTTTTCAAGCATAAATTTAGGATTTATTATTAGTTATTCACCATATGTTATTGAATTCCTGTAGAAATAACTACTGATACTTCATTATTGTTAACAAATTGAAACAAAATTTCACAAAATCTTTTGAAGAATGATATATTTATGCATTACTCAAGCTACAAAAATGATGTAGAGCATTAGCATATGCATTATTAACTTATATCTTCTAATTAAATTCTAGATTAATATATCACAAAATTGGCAAGACCAATTTTCTTCATACGACACATTTAGTATATATGGTAAATATGCAATCTATGCTCTTGAGTATATGGCGTAAATCCGGTCAGAAAAAAAGTGTCTGTACCTTTCTAAATAAACTTTGAATATTTATTAAAGTTGCAATTCATTTTTGATCATGTGAATAAAACAAGAATGAGTGGCAATGCACCAGGAGAACCCCTTATAGTAAGACTTGATTCATAACATCGAATCGCTTAATGATCAATGTCTTCTTCGTTTAGGCCAAGTAAGAACATTTGGATTTTCTGTTATATATTTATCAAATGTTGCATTAATTATTTTCAAACTTAATGTACTGAAATCTTCTCATTAGAAGTACACACATTTATCAAATGTTTTGGGAAGATGTTTTTAAACTACTGAAATCTTCTCGCAAAGCTAGTTGTGAGGAAGTTCAAAGAAAGAACTGGTATTCAGAATTACAACTCTATGATGTCACTTTTTATTATTTTTAAATTGTCGATTTTTACCAAATTTTATACTTTTTTAACTTCTATTGTTAACCCAGAATATTCATATTGGCCCTTTGGGAATAATACTGTTACATTGATTAACAGATACAATGCTCCTCCAATACAAAATACTTTTGTATCCGAAATTTATCTTCATTCATGCTCATTTTTAGAAAATAGAAACTTTAGACATACAAGTGCATGCATATTTACATTTAACTGCTCCGTATATATTGAAAACTGCCAATTTTATCGAAATAGCGCTTATTATTCTGGTGTTGCCAATTTCGCTATTTCAACTAAAGTCGACATCAAAAATTCACTGTTTGCATCAAATACTGCTGATAATGTGGGTGCATTTTCTGCAGGTTGTTTAGAAGCCGGACAAATTGTAAATATTACAGGAACAAATTTTACTAAGAATCGAGCAAAAACATGGGGAGCATGTTTGCACTTGGATCAATCAAGCGGTTATATCAAAGACTTGATATTCTTTCAAAATTCAGCTCCAGATACTGGATCCATTGCAGATTACGCTTTAGCACCAGCCAAAAGGAACTACAATCAAATAACATTCATAAATAATACAGTTGGGAATAATTCAGCCGCTTTTAACTCAATTGTTCATAATTTTATCGGAGAAATCTCAAATTCCATTTTCGTCAACAATGTGAACAAGAATATGAAAGGTGCTTCAGTTGCCATACTTGGAGATGATTCTTCTTTCAAAATTATTGATTGTCAATTTGATCAGAAACAAGAAGACTTATTATACATACAATGGACAGAATACACACAAGTCGAATTCTCTAATACGACAACTTACAATTGTACTTTTGATTATACGGATATATCAAAAGAAATTAAAATTGCAGTTGATTCTATATTCCCTTAGAATAAAATTATATATTGTTTGTATGGTAAATATTAAAATAAATGATTTTTTTTTCTGATATTTTTTACGAAGCCATTTTTTTTGGAAAAACCATAGGAAATATGCGACACTCTCGGAATATGTGTCATAAACAATTAGATTTGCTAATTTCCTGATAACATCATTCTTGGATAAATTAGTTTTTTAGAATAAGTATATAATGGTTGGATCTTTCTTATACAACGTAATGGATATTAGCTTTATATTTCAAAATTTATTACTTTTACATATAGCTTCATTTCAAATTTCACTGTGAGAAAACAACATTTCGATATGAAAACACATTTAAGGATAGATATATAATATATGAGCATATTAGAGATATCAAACGTTAATGTTCAATTTTTCCTCAAATGAGTCACAAATATATATATTGTTCATATGCAAATATGAATTCATTCAAAGATCATTTTATTTTATATGCAAACTTGAATTTTCAAGTAAAAGTCACTTAGTCACATATGTAAAGTAGCTAATTCATACAAAAATATGATATTTTTACATGAAAAATTAAAATTGGATGCTAAGTTTAGTTGATTTCATGTGTAAAACAGCTAATTCATGCATAAAAAGTTAGGTATATCTGCAAAATTGATATATCATGTAAAAAATCACTTAAAAATATTCAATTCCTACAAATTTAAGTTAATTTCTCATTCTAAATTGCAATTTCGCAGAAAACTTAGTTAATTTCGTGTGTGAAATAGTCAATACATACAAAAAATAAGTTAATTTCATATAAAAATACAAAATTCAAACAATTTATTATAAATTAGTCGCTATCCGATAAAAAGGAGTTGCGAACTTGCTCTATACTATTATTTTGTGTTTCATCTTCATCAGAATCCGATAACCACGACTTTGATTCTCTGATTTGTGCATCAGCGAAAGAATCAGGTTCATCTGATAAGAAAGATTGTTGTTGTTGCTGCAGAATCTCCTTGTTTTGGTTCTCCAAGTCCTTTTCCGCTTCATTTATCAACTTTTCTATCTCATCATCACTCATATCCGAAGAATCGCTCAAAAACTTGAAGTTTTCCTGTTCTTTGTCTGCGCTACTATCAGACAAGAATGTTTTCTGTGTCATTCTGACAGCCAAAGACACAATTCCTTCAGAACTTTCGGAATCAGATTCATCATTTTCTTGACTTTGACTATTTTTCACTCCGAATAGTTTTGATACTTCTTCATCGATTGATTCAGGTATTTCCTCCTTCATATTCTTTGCAAAACCATTTAGAATGTTAGTTGCCCTTGAATGTCCAAATAATTTACCTCGAACTGTTGCTCCAAGCAATGATTTAGACAAATCAAGCTTTATCTGTCTATATTTATTCGGTTTCTTGAACATTGCGTTCATTTCAATCACTTCAACTTCATCCAACAAAGGATTTTTCGATTCCTTCTTCAAAATTTGATGTGTGTCACTTTTTTGTTTTGCACAAAGTAATTTTATACAATGTATATCATCAGGTATAGGAAGTACAGGGATAGGAGGGTTGTATAGATTGAACCTTGATAAGTTATTTGTTAACAAATTTTTGATATCGTTTGATTTGTTAACCGCTCTATTCAAAGCTTTTTCTTCAATTCCTTCTGTCATTAAAAAAATTACGTGTCCAGCCCTTTTTCTACCTGTTCTTCCCATTCTTTGAACAGTTCTCAATGGACTTGACTGAGTATCATAACAAATAATCAAATCAACTTCACCGATATCCAAACCTTCTTCAGCAACACAAGTAGCAATTATAAGATTAATATTTCCTTTTCTAAATAAACCAACAATTGCTTGCTGTACTTTTTCATTCAATCCTTCATCAGTATTAGTAACTGCTTTTCCTGTAAACACAGAACACTTCACATTTGGTATCTGTTTTATATGTGATTCAAGATCTTTCGCAACATCTCTGAAATTCGTAAAAACAATACATCGAGATTCAGAATTTTTTGCAAAGAAATCTTCAAGAATCAATGTTAATTTGACAAGTTTAGGATGCGATGTATTCTTCGCGTTACTTGTCATTTTGATCAGAGAAATAAAAGGGGGATACGACATCAAACTCTTTCGCTCAGCCGTTTGCTTCTTTTTGTCAAATTCTTTGAGTGCTTTGTCAAGAAATGTCGGACCATATTTTTGCAATTTTTCTTTCATCGAAGTAAGAGATAAAAGAAGTGAAAAATGGTTCATATACTTAAAGAAAAGTCCACTGCGAGGTCCGCTCTTGAATTTCTCCATGTTCGCGTAAACTGCGCCTCGAGATAAAAAATGGACATCAGATACATTCAAAAAACCAGCTTTTTGAAGTGGAGTTGCAATGTACGCGATGGACTGGTCCATTAACTTAGTCAATGCGTCTTCATCTCCGCCGGCTTTTACAGTAATAATTTCGATATCTGTATTATGCTGGTATTGTTTGATATCTGGGTCATTGGAATCTTTGTATATGATTTTGGATATCATCAGATTGTAAACAACCGATTGTATGCTTTCTATGTCTTTGCCAGGAGTGGCAGATAATCCGATAATGCGAAATTGGGAATTTCGCTCGGCAACCATACGTGTAATCATGCTATATGCATGTCTGTGTCTTGCATGATGGGCTTCATCGAATATGATAAGAGAAATACGACATGGATCTAATCTTCCTTTTTTTATGTCGTTTTGTACGGTTTGAGGGGTGGCATAAACAACTCTGTAGGTTTTCCATAAATCCTTTCGAATGTTGGAGTGCGTAGTTCCGAGTAATGCTATTGTATCGCTATCTGGAATTGTTGTGAACATATTGCATGCGTCTATCTGCTGTTCAACAAGAGCACGTGTAGTGGCGCAGAAGATGATGATAGAATTTGGATACCATCGGTAAAAATTCATGATAACAACAGCAGCAATGAATGTTTTACCTGAACCTGTTGGTAAACATACGAGTGTGTTGTATTTAAAGCATAACTGTGAGATTTGGAATTGATAATCACGGCGTGGAACATCGCAAGGATATAAAAAGGTGTAAATTTTCTCTTGATCTGCTTCAACATATTTGTCTGTTGACTTTCTAAGAATCTCAGTTGGTGGAAAATTGAGTGCAGCTGCTGCTTCATCATCTCCTTCAACATGCATATAATCTTCGAGACTCTTTTTCGAAGACATATGAAAGAGATTTTAGCTTACTTCCAAAAAGTGACAAAAGGAAATTCCCTTCGTCACTTTTATTCCAACAATTCACTTTACAAAATTTTGTATAAAAATAATATAAACATCATTATGTATTGCAATATTATAATTGACTATTTTTGAATTTCAAAATTTCTGTCTAAATTTATGGAATAGTCAAATTCCCTTTTATAGGGGATAAAACATGTTCATTGATCATTTTTTTGAAATGAATGTTATTCGATATCCTTTAAACATCGATTCAACAATGCAATACGAGTACAAATTCACGAAGATTGGAATGAATTTTATCCGAATGCCCAAACATACGAAAATTATACAAAACATAATAGTAAACTTACAGCGAATGAAAACAGTTATTACGTTTCATCATGCTTTTTCTACAAAGTAAACACACAAGGTTCAGTTTACTTAAACACACAAAAAAATACAATCAAATTCCTCATTGATACTACAACATTTAATAACTGTAGTAACAATCAAACAGGCGGTTGTATTTTCTATCAACAAGAAGGCGAATTTGTTCAAGATCGCGTCTGCAGTTTCGCTTCTAAAGTAAACTCAGAATATACACAAGGTGTTTACTGTAAAATTGATGTTAGTAATAGTAATACCTACAAAAATTATATTTATGATTCCTCTATTAGTAAAAGTGGAGATGAAAGTTACTTAGGAAAATATAATCTTTATTTAATAAACGGCCAAATCGAAATTAAATCAATCAACATTTCATTTTCGAAAATATGCTATAGAGATTTTTATGAAGTTGATTCATTTCCAAAAGGATCAAATTGTTCATTTTCCACTTTTTCTAATTCAAGTAGAGCTGCTGGTAATTTTAAGGCTCCGGTCCCACCCTCTCAATTTTAAAAGTTTTAATATCTCCACCAATATGAGTTTTTGATACTTTTATTTTAGTACATAATATCATTATGTAATACACTATAGTATTGTATATTTAAACTGAGTATTACTATTATAGTTCATCTTATCTGAGAATTCGGTATTTTGACAAATTTCAACTTTGACCGGTAAAACTATTTATAATCAAAAAAGCCCACGACATTTTATAGCATATTAGTGATACATTATATTGTTATTAGTAAACTTGATTTACAATCTCTTCTAGATGAGTAATTTGTTTTTTTGAAAAAATCTGACAAATCACTTTTTGACAGAATCTAGATATTTTTGATTTGTGAAAGTTTTAATAATATGATAAGGTTTATATATGCTATCATAATGTAATAAAATCATATAATGTTACATTATCGCTATATATGTCGAATATTAAAAAATTGTATATTAACATTTTTTGTCATATCTTGATAATAAAGAAAAAACTCTCAGTTCCCCTTCGACAAATTGTTAGAATGCAACTAAAGTTTATTTTGATATAGTGAGTTTGCTTCTAAAAAAATATATGAAAGAAGAATTAGATTTGCAAGACCCCTATAAAAAACGATTTTTGCGTCGAGAATAACTTCATGCACGATTAATTGATATGATAATAAAAATCATATATGATAATTACTTAATATAGGCAACAATATTGTATTAATCACTTTTTGTCAAAACGGTTTTTTGATAATTGAGTATTCAATTTTCCAAAAATCCATTCAATAATTTGATTTAGTTCACAAATTTGATATTTTTGATGTATTTTTTCAAATTGAGAGTATTTTTGACGATAGAAGTAGGTGTTTTTTGAATTACAATTTTATATTGATGTGCATGATAAAAATTTGAACTTATATTATGGTGACATAGTATAAGTCATAATGTATTAATATACAAAAGATATTATCAAAAAATTCCTTTCCAATATGTATAAACAAATCGATTTTTTAAATTAAATTTAAACCTTAAACTCAATATATTAAAAAGTGACATTATTTTAATTAGAAGTACAAAAATCCATAGTCATAGAATTATCAAATGATTGAAAATTGTTATAATTGGGCACATTATACTCATTTATGAATTTACTATACTATATACTTTGCAAATTTAAAAATCCAAATTTTCAATTTTTAAAATATCATTATTTATCATATATCAAATAGTAAAGTTAGTATATATCATGTTTAAAACGATAATATAGTCAAATTCGAAAATTTTAAAAATAGATAATATTTAATTTTTACAAAATATTGGTATATGTGCAATCTATTGGTATATTTTTACTCCTTATTAGACACTCGTCCTAACTATATGCAGTAATCATGCAGGACCGGAGCCTTAAATTCAATCATAGAAATTCTCAAGAAACTTTTGAAATCCGAAATTGTAACATTTTAAATAACATTGGATCACTTCTTTTGGCACAATCTGGTTCAGTTTATATCAAAAATAGTAGTTTTATAAATATCAATCATGATTTTTTTTATTTTAAAGGTACAGTTACATTAGATGGATGTTACATTGATAACAAATCTCCAAGAACATTAGGAGAAGTCACCTTTATAAATAACATCACAAATGAATTTACTCATAATTTTTCTCATTTTTCAACTTTTGTTTGTTATGCAGATATTCCTATTATTTATGAAATCAAAGAAAACATTCAACATAGTAAATATATTTCTTTTCTTTGTGTTTTTCTTTCATCACTAAACATCTCACTTAAATCTTAGTCTTATTTAAAGAATTTTATACTGGTTTCCTTAATTGAACATTTTATTATGCCCATCTGACTTTAATTCAAATTCCTGACAATTGGCTTGAAGCTTAATTGTAGAGCAACCTTAAAGATCAGAATTCAAAGCCATGTCATATGGGCTGAAATACACCATTAAAAAATTTCATCTTTTGAAATTCTTGACCAAGATTGAAAGCTTTACAAAATATATGGAATTATAAAATAGTTCGAAAATTGAAAACCGCTTCACTCATTCAATTTTCGCCCTATTTTTTAAAAAATCCAAACTTATATTTTGAGATAATGCAGCATTTTTTCCCCTTGCATTTGACACTTTTTTCGGCAGACTGTAGTATAATTTTTATATAATTATTTGACTATTATTGAGAAGCACTTTTTTAATTCGATTTTTATGGAATAGCAAAAATCCCTTTTATAGGGGATAAAAACTATTTCATAGATCCTTTATTGAAATGAACAATATTCAATATTCATTAGATATCAATTGACCAATGCAACACGAATTCGAACTCATGAAGATTGGACAGAATTTTATCCAAGCACAGAAACATACGAAAAATATACAAACAAGCATAGTCAACTTACAGCAAAACAAAGCAGTTATTATATTTCATCATGCTTTTTCACTCAAGTAAACACAGAAGGTTCAGTTTACTTAGTTACAAAAAAACATTCAATCAAATTCCTCATTGATACTACAACATTTAATAACTGTAGTAACACCGGTTGTGGTGGTTGTATTTTCTATCAACAAGAAGGCGAATTTGTTCAAGATCGCGTCTGCAGTTTCGCTTCTAGAGTAAGCCCAATAGATACACAAGGTGTTTACTGTAAAATTGATGTTAGTGAAAATAATACCTATAAAAATTATATTTTTGAATCCTCTATTAGTAAAAGTGGAGATGAAAGTTACTTAGGAGCTAAAAATCTTAATTTAATAGACGGCCAAATTGTAATAAAATCAATTAACATTTCAATTCCCAGAATAAGGTATAGAGATTTTTATGAAGTCGATTCATTTTCAAAAGGATCAAATTGTTCATTTTCTATTTTTTCTAATGCAACATGTGGAACTGGCGGTGGCTATTTTAAATTCTATCATAAAAATTCTCTCGAAACTTTTGAAATTCGAAATTGTAACATTTTAAATAACAATCGTAAAGGAATACTAGTAACCCAATCTCCGCTTTATATCAAAAATTGTAGTTTTATAAATAACGAGGATGGTAATCATTATTATTATTTTCAAGGTAATATGACATTAGATGGATGTTACATTGATAACAAATCTCCAAGAACATTAGGAGAAGTCACCTTTATAAATAACATCACAAATGAATTTACTCATAATTTTTCTCATTTTTCAACTTTTGTTTGTTATGCAGATATTCCTATCTCATACCGAAATGGCTCACAAAAAAGTGACATTTTTGGCGCCAATAATTTGATTTTTCTGATTCTTTCTATTTAGATATATTTATTTAATATTCATATTCCTTTATATTGCCTCATATTATTTCCCATTTTTAATCATATTATACAAATCTTTAATAATTTTTAATGTTTTGAGCTTCAAAATCTTGTTCTAACTATTTTCATTCATATATCCTAGAAAAAATTAAAAAGTTTTTTAGAAATAAAAATGTTTGTATGTAAAGTATTGAAAATATTCTAGATGAGAAGACATTCTCCAGAAGAGATTGATATTGATTGGCTTTGTGAAGCCATCACAAAATCAAATAATGGAGTTAAGTTAACTGATATTTGCGCGAAAGCTAAAATAAATCATGAAGGCAGAGTTATATATAATCATACTATCTTAAAGTATTCCTAGAAATTTCCAAAATTAACCGAAATATAACTGGACAGAATTACTATTTTCGAGATAAAATTCATATGGAAATACTAATTCATAACGCTTTATGTTATATAAAATTTAATTTATAAAAATTTCAAAATAAATCAAATTTAACACAATGAATATAACTGCAATCTAGGTTTTTGACGATTGATTCTTACGATAAGTTTTCCAAACTTTGAGTTAATGTCTTGACATTAACTCAAAGTTTGGAAGTCTAATAAGGGGAATTGTAGGCTATGAGGTACTGATTATATATCAGTGCCTCATAGCCTGCAATTCCCATTAGAAATGGGAGAAACTTTGTCCGCATAACTTATGATGCGGACAAAGTTTCTCCCATTTCTACTTAGAATGAAAGGGCAAGAGGTATATAGGTACACTATATATCTCTTGCCCTTTCCTTCTTACCTAAAGACTTCCAATCTTATTTTTTTTTCCAATTTTCCCCTAAAT